GCATTAAGATTCTACACATTAAATATAAAATAAAACTCACCAGTCAAAACGGGCAGCAGTCGCGTTGCAACAACTGTTTGTTCTTTCGACAGCACATGTGTGTATGACTGATGTGTGTGCGACCGTGGGGCTCAAATCACACAAAACTCCGACACTGAAAAGCATCTTGGAACAATCTGTGTGCAAATCTATGAAATGTCACGTTTCACACGACTCGGCTCTGTTTACATCTCAGCTGATTTGTTTCATGCTTCAGAAGTTACATGACAAAAAAAATCTGATGTTGGTAAATTATGTGCAGGTTCTCATACAACTGTGCAACATTTTGCATGACGGATGTTAAAATAGATCAAAATAAGCGATAAGGTGCTGGGAAAGTTTTATCTGAGATGTGGCAGGAAGTAAGACTTCCTGGTGTCAGTTTAATCTATTAAACATGTTTAAATTACAGAGTAAAAAAATGCTGAGAAAAATATTTAATTCATATTTTATACAGTTTGACTTAAATGACGGCAAGTTTGACAACACTTGAGTCAAAAAAAAAATCTAATTTCCATCTAAAAGCAATTATGATCAGAGCTGCAAAAAGTTGTTTTTTCCAATAGTTCCAATAATATTCATCATCAGTAATCCTGTTGAAAGTGTGAATCATACAAAATTCTTCCATAAAATCGGATATTTTCTGAAGAAAAACTGCATTAAAGTGCACATGAAAGTCTGTAATGAATTTCTTGAACCTGTAACATGAAGCTACTCTATCACAGCTGCTTCATATTTTTAATTATTGTGAATTTATTTTTCATCCGTTTGTTTTTCTCTGACTGAACTAAACATGGAAGTTCAAGATGTGTTCGTCATGTTTATAATTTTTTTGTTTTTGCTTTTCTTTTTTTTGTATTTCTTTTTTTTTTCTTATTGTCATCATTCGAAGCCTGCCTCAGTGAATAAAAGTGATTAAAATTCATTAAAAAATTAAAACAAATGATATTTGTTGACAATTGCAGATTGTTTTTGATCCACTTTAAAATGCAGCCAGAAATTAGTTTACAGTTTATTTAAGTTAAAGCCTCATTTTTTGTGGCAGTGAACCAGATGTTTCAGTGTTATGTGAGTGTTAATACTGTCCAAGTGTTTGAGTTCAGGTTTTCATGTTCAGAGCTGCACTGTTCAGAATAGGACAATATGACTTATTATTGTGTTGCGTTTTCTTTCTTAATTTAATTTTGTTTTTACATTTTCTTGTGCTGTATATTTATCATGTGTTAAGTTTTTTGTAACACGAGGATTTGTCACATTTGTTAAAAATAAATACATTTATAGGTGATCCTGAAAGTTTCCTCTTCAAATCTTGTTACTCTTTGAACAAACTTTTATTTAAATGTGTAGGTTTACTGGAGGTTGCAAGGATGCGAACCCAACAAACAAACAAATGAAGAAATAGTTTCTTTCTCTTTGCCTTCATCTCGGATCATTATTAATCAAAGTTTACTTTCAGCCTCTGCTATTAATCAAAGCATCCAAGAGTAATAATAATAACAAAAACTATTCTGCAAAACCGAAGCATTCAGAACTTTTATCAGAACATTATAAAACAAAATTTAACAAACAAAAATGTAAACAAAGAGCTGGCTCCATCTGTTAGAGCTTAAAGTGTGTGTTGGGGATGACTCTCAGCTACAACCACACCTAAATTCAAGCTGAGGGAAGCCAACCCCTCCCAAAAAATGAAACACAGAAAAAAAAGGCAAATAATATGAGAGGTTAATGCTTCATTTGTGCGYGTTTGTGCACTTGAAATCGTCGTTTGAGCTGCTATGGTTTTTTATATATTAAAGATTATTTGCAAGGGTCAATCAGGGGTCACTATCCCACCCGCTCGCTCCAAAATGAACCAACAATGAACAAAACTAGTCGAATTTTGTAGTGGTTTCTTTGAGCAGGTTTGTGCTGTTTCAACGGCCGTGCTGCTATAGTTTATGACAGTGTTTCCCAAAGTTGGGGTTGGGACCCAAAGTGGGGTCCCGAAACATCAAGGTGGGGTCCTGAAAAGATTTTCTGAATTAATGACATTTTTGTCTTAGTTGTTACAAAGAAGTGAGGTTAGTATATTTAAAATGGATAAATGTAGTGTATAAAAATATTGTTATTATGTCCATGTTTAGTTGACCTGATACAAATGTTTATCACCCAAAAATAGCTGGGGGCTCAGGTCTCTGCTACTGTTATTTTGTGGGTCAAATGCTGGAAAGTTTGGGAACCACTGCACTTTGGTTCCCAAAGTTGGGCWTGRGACCCAATTATGGGTCATGAAGCACCTTGGATAATCTCCAGAAATCAATTTAAAGGATAATAAAATAATTGCTGATGTAATATTTTCCCTATAATTATTACAAAAACACAAAAAAGTATAAATATGTATTTATATTTGTGTACAAGCTGTTTAGATTGTCAAAAAGCCTGTGTTTTTAGGGTTATTAACAAAGTTTGTGTACTCAGACCAGTAATACTTGGGGTCACAAGTTTTTACCATGGATATTTTGTGGGTCAGAAGATAAAAAGTTTGGGAACCACTGGTTTATGAGATATTACACGTTAAAATTTCGGACGATCACGTGACTTGGCCTGAATTTACGTCTGTGACAACAGGCCAAGTCACGTGATCATCTGAAATTTTAACGTGTAATATCTCATAAATTATAGCAGCACAAAGAGCCATTGAAACGGCACAAACCTGCTCAAACAAAGCACTACAAAATTCGACTAGTTTGGTTCATTTTTGGTTCATTTTTGAGYGAGCGGGTGGGATAGTGACCCCTGATTGACCCTTACAAATAATCTTTAATGTGTAAAAAACCACCRCAGCACAAATGACAATTTCAAGTGCACAAACGAAGCACTAACCACTCAACCTATTTGCCTTTTTTTTTGGAAGGGTTTGGTTTCACTCAGCTCTAAATTCACAGGCAGATTACACGCGTCTTAGTAGAGAGTTGTTTAGGTCTTTATTTGCCTGCATGGCTTATTGCACAATGGTGTGAATTAGAGTGCAATTGATGAGTATCAGGCTCAAACTGCTCCTCCTCTGCTTCCAACTCCATCACCCCCTTAAACCATCTGTCTACAAAATAAGAACATTTTGATGCATAAAGAGTATCTTCTACACTAAAAGTGTTTGTAATGTGCATTTTCTTCAAATACAAAAATAAAATATCTTTATATTTAAAAATCTTGATAATACATTTGATTTTACACATTTTGTCACAAAACTGGTGTAGTTTCAGAACTTGGGTCAGTCAAAGTGAAACAGGAAGTGACTGAGCGTTGTCCTGAAGAGCTGCTTCCGTTGTGTTGARCCACGTGTCTGTTTCATTCCCTCCAATGTAGAGGTCTAAACATTCCTCACTGCACTGAACATTTTTTATGATAMATGTTCAGGTGTTCAGTCAGTTTCTTCTCATTTCAAAATTATGSCCACTAGAGGGAGCCATCGTGGAGTAGAAATACAGAAACGATGCATCGACAGGAAAAGAGTGAAATTGCCCCCAAGTATGCAGAGAGGAAAGAGGCTTCAGCAGCAGACAGGGCTGGACCTCCTCCTCCTCCTCCTCCTTCTCTCCTCCTCCTCCTCCTCCTCCTTGGACAGCCTATTCTCTCCTCTCTGCTGATCTCAGTTCAGTTGACCAGCGTCGCAACCAGGCGATGCACCTCAGATAGAGCCTTTCTTCATAATCTAGTGCACATCATAAAACTTTTAGAAGACTTCAGTATTTGTATTTACATCAGAGTGATTTTTTTTGAAGAAAATGTATCTCATGACAAGGTTTTCAAACGTTTATCTGAAAACTTACCACATGTAAAAAGCTTTTTTTTTTATTGTGACCTACTGAGGGTTTGAGATCTGTTTTATTTTTGAAACCAGTTAGTGACAACTCTTTCTGAAATGATAAGAGGAAAACCAGACAAACTCGCTTGATTTGGGTGAATCTTTCTGCTTGAAGGCACTGACAGCATCTTTTAAAGCAACAAAGGAGGCAGTCACTGAAGAGGTAAGCCCTAACTTTTTAAAAATTAATCTCATTCAAATGGAAACTGGTGGATAAAGCTTTTTTGTAAAGTTCACGTGTTTGAAACAGATTTGTTGACATGACCTGACTACCTGCTGTCAGAGGTAATACCTTGATTCTGTAAAAATATCATCATCCTCAATTTCTTGCTCAGAAGAAATTAAGATAAACAAACAAACAAACAAACAAACAAACAAACAAACAAACAAACAAACAAACAAAAATCAAGTAATAATGTGAACTATTTTGGTAAAGTCAAATATTTTTACGTATGTTAAAGTATTACTTTTTTGATCCCTTATCTGTTTTTTATCAAATGATAKAACAGAATGTTTTGGGTTGTGTTTTGGAAAATTTATTTATTAAGACTTTGAGGACAAAAATATATATTTTTCAAGACACTGCAGCTATTGTCAAAATCTTGCTTGCCATGTCAAAGGAGTTCAACAAGGTTTCATCCTCAGCCCCCAGGTATTTTGGCTTTGTATCCACACTGTGATCATTTTGTGCAAGTTTGGACTTAAAACCCACCAAACCTCACTTCCCAAATATACAAACAAACTAAAACTTTGACATAACATCACATTTAATAGACTTTATGATCATGCTAATTTATCACAGCTGTAAYTCCTCAGTTTCTTAAATCCCTTGTAGCACACTTTTTGTCACATTTTCTTCTGTCCAACACATCGCCACTCTGATCATTTYACACCACATCACCAGCAGGTGTTACAGCAGTAAAGACAGTCGCTCTGAGAGATGATCAGCCTGAATTAGAACTTTTTATTTTGCTTTTTTAAATGATCAGTACCAAACTTGCATAAGAGCTTAATAAAAAAAAATGAAAGAAAACTTTAACATTGATTCTTTGACACATCTATTTGGGACATTATAAACAGCCTATAGTGGGATTTAAATGCAATTCTGCTCGACTGAAAGCAGAATTATGTCTGGGTGTTAAGTGAGCAAATATAAATGCAGACTATTGACCAGATGTGCTAAAGTTAAAGACTCCTGACTAAAACTCTGAGGAAGGATAGAAATAGGCATTCAGATTTGCCTATGTTTAGTCTCAGTTGTAAAATAGACACATTGGGCGGCTGAGGTAGAGCAGCTGGCCTTGGGACCCGCAAGTCACAGGTTCGACTCCCCGCCATGCCCACATGCTGTTGCGTCCTTGGGCAAGACACTTCACCCGCCTTGCTTACTGATGGTGGTCAGAGGGTCCGGTGGCGCCTGTGTATGGCAGCCTCGCCTCTGTCAGTGTGCCCCAGGGCAGCTGTGGCTACAATGTAGCTTACYACCATCAGAGTGTGAATGTGTTTGTGAATGGGTGAATTTCTGTAAGTGTAAAGAGCTTTGAGTGTCCTGGATGGATCGAAAGGCGCTATATAAGTACAGTCCATTTACATTTTTCAACAGTTATAAAATAGACATCTTTTAACGTCCTGAGTTGTTGTTGAAAGTTTTAGATGAAATTAATAAAATATAATATTTGGTGGAGGAGCTTAAAGTACGCTAAAGTTTTAGATCTGACAGACGGAGAAAGAGAGAGAGAGAGAGAGAGAGAGAGAGAGAGAGAGAGAGAGAGAGAGAGAGAGAGAGAGAGAGAGAGAGAGAAACAATGATAGTGAGAGAGTAAAGTTACCAAACAGAGTAGCTAGGGTCACATTAAAAAAACACATTGCCTAACATGATGTCTGCTGCTAACAGAAAGTTTATTTAATTTTAAAGTGTATTTTTTAGGCTACATATACTTTGCTCTGGATGTTTGTGAAGAAACTGCTGTTAATCAAGTTGTGACGTGTTC